CACATTGTTTCAGTCTTCAGAAACACAGTAGTTGGAGGTTCTAACTCGTCCTGCACAACAAAAATTACTCTTATTAGCTTGATTTCATGCCGTATATATCATCTGCAAAGTATAACTAAAATGATATAAAGTTTAACTAAAAAAAGAATTATATATTGCATATTATTCTTCATGTTATAAATATGCTGCTAAATGTCTCTGAATAACGTTTAATTTGAATACATAATTACCTTTTCATTCTTACCTCCGTTTCATCCTGCGTCACTTCCTTTTCTTCAAATCCTTCTTCAATCTCACACTCCCATTCAGTCTTCACAAACACAGTGGAAGGACTTTGTAAATCTTCCTGCAAAACAAGAGAAAATTATAACAAAAATCGTTATCTATTATCTTTTAATTTAAATCAAAAGAAACAGTACTATTTAAAGTTATTTTTTAATGCAAAATTCCATTCAATGAACATATTGATAAAATAGTTAATAAATGAATCCAAATGTTAGATTTTGGGTCTTGTAGAGAACTAAATTCAGTAAAAGCATTGAGATAGTTTTATTTACATCTGGTCAGACTATTACAGTTTGCCTCGTCAACTTGAAGTAGGATCTTTAACATACATTTAAAAAGTTCTGCACAATCTGTTTAGAATGACATCTCTCATCTTATTTTACCTGATACCATTTATAGACCACAATTATAAAGAAATATCAACTATTCTAAACATTCCATCATTCAAGTCAATGAGGGAATTAAATGAAATGGAGTTTATTACATAAACTAATAAACAGTATTATTTCAAGTCCTTTATTACTCAATGATTTGAATTTCAATGTTCCAAATAAAATAGACAAACCCCAACATTATATTATATCAAATGATTTTAATTCTTTATTCTGCAGAAATCAAACCTCTCACGAATATGCAGGAAACAAACCAAAATTTATGTAACTTAAATATAATGGGCATAAACCAGGATCGTCCAACTTGCATTCTGTGGGCCCCAAGTGGTACTATTATATGAAATAGTTGGTAGGTCATTTCATAACAATATCTACTGCCACCGCCATTTCAAAAATAACACATATATATTTCCATAGTTTCAGTCATTTTATTTAAAAAAATATAAAACAAATCTTCAGTAATTTTAGTTCCTTTTATCATTTTTCATGTAAAATTATGAAAATAAAACTAACCACACAGAAAACATATTTGACTCACATTAATTTTCCCAGAACACTCATCTGTGTTGACAACTGGTTCTTTTTTAACCTGAAGACAAAAAAAAAAAAAAAAGAAAAATTATTTTATTACAATCTCAAAACTTCTCAGTATTGCATCTTCAATTTCCACAATTACCACAAAATAAGAATTGAAAAAACTCTGATAAATTTTGTTAAATCTTAAGTAATCAACATTAATTTTTTTTAATTTGAAACAAGGGAAAACTTCAAATTTGCACATTTATATACTTTCCACAATATTAACTAATTTATAACAAATTTTTATAATAATACAAGGGGCATACTGTATGGTTTTACATTTTATTCTTTGTATGTCCAGATATGGTTCACATTTTACTTCAGAAGATGATGACGTATAACTAGTATCGTGTGCAACCGTTATGTAGCAACACACGCACAGGGGCAAAGGAATGTATTCATCATAGCCATTTCATAACAATACTGTCAGCGTAGGAGCAGACAACATGGAAAGCAACCATCAGGGACAGTGCTATATGACTTGGTTCCTAAGAAAAGGAAGGCGGGACCACTGTAAAAATTCATCGGCGCTTGGCGTCAGTCTGTGATGAACATGCTCCGCCACATAAAACAGTTTACAACTGGGTGGAAGGTTGGAAAACAGGGTGCACATCAGTGGACAGTGGACAAGATAGAATGAATGTGACAATGTCAACACCAGCCAACATTGCCCAAGTCGAAAAGGCCATCCAAGAAAACAAATGCATCACATTTGGAAATGGAGGCAGCCAAAAGAATTAGCTGAACCACCCTTCAGCGGATCTTGAACAGCCACTTACAGTTGGGATAGGTGTCATCTAGGTGGGTGCCTAGATTCTTTGCAGATCAAAAGCAGAGCCATGTGGACATGTGCAGAGAATCTTTGCGATGCCATGATAAAGTTCCAGTCGACTTCATGGCTAGGCTTCTGACTGGTGATAAGACATGGCTCCATTACCATGAGCCACAAACGAAACAACAATTTTGCAATGGAAGCATAGGGGCCACTGTCAAAGAAATGCTGAGCAGTGCCATCAGTTGGCATGTGAATGGCGACAGTGTCCAGGGGCAAAAAGAGCATGATCCTCATTGACTGGCTGGAATTTAAGGCCATGATTAACAGTTCAGCGTATGTGGCAACCCTTAAGCGCTTACACCGTTCCATTGAAAATAATCGACCAGGATAATGAGCCAAAGCTGTGCTTCTGCAACGTGACGTTGCCCACACCCACACTAGTTGAGTGACTAGTGCTGCCATTGGGATTCATAGTGCTGTCACACACCCCATCTCAACTTGGCAACAAGTGATTTTCACCTGCTTAGAACCTCTGCGTGGACGCTGTTTTGCGAATTTTGAAGAACTGGATATGGCTGTCAAGGCATGGGTACACGGCACTCCAAAAGAAGGATAGCAGGTAGGTCTGGAGAGACTGACACATCAATGGCAAACGTTCATACAGTTACAAGATTATGTTGAAAAGCTGGACGAACCAACTGGTGTGTAATGGACTACTTTTGAGTAGAAAAAAATAAAATGTAAAATAATAAAGTATGCCCTACGTATAGATGTATAATAACTGATAAATAATCATTGAAGTAAAAATTTAATTCTTTTCATAATTAGTGGTGCTACAACAGCATATTCTTACTTCTATTACACTTATTATACCACTTGAACGTGCAGAATTGCTTCTAATATGCCAAATATTTGGTCAATTTGTGATAAAAATTCAGGTGCAACTCATATTTTTTTAAAATATATATTATTCTTAACAAATATCAAAATTTCAAAAATTTGAAGAACAGATTTCATGACGGAAAAAAAATCTGTGTCTTCAAACTTAGAGTTGTTGCAAGACACTGAAAAAAATTTTAACTTTCACAGGTTTTGAAAATTTAGAGAACAACAATAAACTGACATGCACAATTTCATTTGTGGACTTTATTCTAACTCAGAAAAAATTGCCACGTCATTAAAGCTTCATGTAAAGTATCCCCACCCGCAATCAAAATACTTCTTTCAAATTCACAAGGTCTCAGTTTGAGTCAGATCAATTGGAGAACATTAATCTTATGAGAAAATATCTACTATTTCTGCATCAGGGATATGGAGTATAAGTTTTTCTGTCGAAAAAAAATACATTTCGCAGTAGAATTACATTTCATATAGTAAGTACACAGTATAAAAGAAAGGAGAAAATCATGAAAGGACATTCATTTTAATATATGGTTGTTAAGTCAACAATTTTTGCAATAATGGAAAAAAATTAACATTTCTGGTCCAATATTTAAATATTGATTAAAAATTAAACTCATGGTACTTTTCTTCGTACAATTACATACAATAACCAAATATTTTGAAATTTGTAAGCTACTACTAGTGAACTATAGCATTACCAAAGTACATACTTAGCACAAGCATTTATTTGATTGATTGTCTTTTGATTGCAAGGCGTGTCAATAGCCAAGGTTATTAGTCCCGTGTGTCTAGTGTATGTATCTTTCTTCGTAAGGTGTCAGTGACCTTTCCCCACTGGATGGTGAAAACCGGTGCCGACCTATCTCTCCAGCTAGTGGGGTTTTCCCCAACCATATATATTCCACCAGCAAAGCACTGCCGCAGCCAGGACAAACTCTAAGCTCTTGACTGGTTTTGCTTGAATTGTAGCCGCCTTGAATTGTAGTGTAGTGCATGTAAGTATTAGTTTGTGCAAGTAAGGAGTGAAGATAGGACGAGGAAGGGAAGGGGAAGATTGAATAGTCCATGGTCTGTTTATTAGGGAACTGCTCATCATTCGTCTGGTACTGATCAGAGAGAAACTTCTGACACTTTTCATGGAAAACTACTGATTAGAGAGCCTGGCCACTAGAATTTTCCTTCAGACAGTGACGTAATTCGACCTAGCCCTCTAACTAGTGTCAAAAATCCTGCTGTTAGGACTCGAACCTAGGACCTCCCGGTTAGGGGCACTGAAGTAACATCAGCTGATGCCGAGTCACCTCTCCTGGATATTATTTATTTGACTTTCACAATTACACAGCAAAATCCACGAGACTCCAATTAAATTGTTTCAACTTGACGGTAGACTCATTTCAATTGTCCCAAAGGAAACACTTGATGGCTGTAAAAAGTCATTACGTGAATCATAGTTGAATCCTTCCATAGCCATGTCAATATTTTGTGCAGTTTATGACTGCCTGGCTCTATCCTGTGAACAAGAAAGCAGTTGCCTCTAGCAGTTTTACTATCCATGAAGCTGAAACTAAAGGTTTCGTAGCTCTGGATCTCACCATTCTATCCACTTGTCTCTGTGCTGTCTGTGCTATCTCTGCAGCTCTTTTTTTCTCGTCCTGTAGTCGGGCCCGACGCTGTCGATCTTTTTTTAAAGCTCTGTAATTGGCAGTTCTCTCTCTCTGAATCTGCAGACGTCTCGCACGCTGTTCGACTGTCTCTGAAGCTCTAAATTTAGCAGTTCTCTCGCGGTCCTTTTTACGTCTTATATCTCTCTCCTCAGGAGTTTCTAGTTGACGCTTTTGTCTTGTTCGTTTAGCGTTTGCATCATACCGACCAATATGATAACGTTTCTTCGGAGGCATTGTTAAGTAATTATTTCTGTAAAAGAAAACAACAACTCAGCTTTGAAAGATAAGCAAATGGAACCCTTTCATTTAGCAATGAAAGGTTACATTATGAAATGCAATAAAAAACAAATTTCAACATAAATGGAACAAAATAATTATGAAGTAGGTTCTTATAACCGAATAGAAATATATATCTCATCACAGAAATGAACAAGTTGAAATGAACATGTTACAAGAGCACTGTACTTTCTTGTATATTGTACCTGCCAATTAAACTGACATCTTCTTCTGCTATATAAAATTGCGAGAGTATGTGCCATAAAAACATTAGAATCCCAGGAGTGATCCCTAAATTTGGGATAAATACTTTTGAGTAGTCAAGAATCAATAATATGGTAGAGATTCAAAATGTTACAACAAAAAGTGTTTGTTTTTGTTTTAATTGTTTTTGCTTACCTATGCTTGACCATAATTAAAATCAAAATATAAAACAAATGAACTGAGAGACGAGAACTGTCTATAAGGTGCTACAATGGAATCCTTGAATTGTACAAAAGGGTGGTATCAAGATAAAAAAAATATATATAAAAATGAGATTCAATAATGCAAACTACAAGATGTAATATCATGTTAAAATAAGTAGAATTGAGAAAGGTACCATGTACAATGGAACTGTTCTGAAACTTCATACACAGGACAGTTGTCATGAGACATGTAGTAAGTGTAATAGTAATATTGTATAACGTGTAATAGTAGAATTAATCAATAAAGAATATTACAAATTATACTGAAAATACTATTGATAATAAATATGAGTAGTTATTTTTCATGAACAACACCTGCATTCAGCTCAATTTACATGTTAACTTCAAGAACATGACATGTACTTGAACAATTTGGAGTTGTGGAATTACAAAGACAAAAACTATGGATCTTAATTTTAATATATTTTTATTGTTTTAGTAATAGAATGTTATTGATTTTCAAAAAGAGAATAATGGACATAATCTAGTTATATTAAAAAATAATAATGATGTACCAGTAGATGGGAGCAAAATAAGTCATCAAAATGTTCTGTGAAAACAAAATGAAGAAGAGTATTTAAATGTAATGAAATAAAGTTATAAAGTGTTTTTGTGTTTTAAATATTAGTGCAAAACATGTTTTAACAAGAAAATATAACTGCCTTAACAAATTGGGATCTATTTTTATTATGCTTTCTCATAATTAGAGGGCAGATTTTGGTAACCTAAAACAACGCCCCAAATAATTAATAAAATGCTCTTAAAATGTTTTTAAAATTCCCTAAAAGCAAAGAAAAAGTATTTAAAAATTTGAACAAAACCAGTTCAGATGAACAACGCAAGCTGTTAGATTATATTACTGACGTAATCACGGCTCTTTCCTTTTGTTGTAGTGAACACAGACATTTGCTTTGGACTGTTCTTTACCAGGACTTTCTTTACCTTATCTCTGATTTTAGTTACACCGAAACCAGCCAAACTGACAATGGCGAAAATTGTTTGAAACCAATACTATTAAAATGATATAAAAATAAATGAAATTACCATAATATGCTTTAAAAATGATAGAAAAATGTTAAAGATGACTTATTCGAGGAAAGTGATGAAAAACGCAATAGAATGTCATATAAAAATATCTCATGTTCTTTTGTCAAAACGTAAAATTGATGTCTATACTAAAAATCTTTGTTCTATAGTGAAAAAAGTGACATTTCATGAAAATCTGCTTCTACTCATAATCAATTAACTTCTTTTGATAATTTGGTCTATGATAAAAATTGCATCTGTTGTTCCCCTCCCTTTTCTAAACCTACATTGAAAGCATATTAACCAATCATATTAAAAATTATAAAATAACATTAATTGTATTTCCATTTTTATGTATGTCCTTCTCGCTAATTGTCTCCTCTCCCCACCACCATTTATTTTCTTTCCTTTTTGTGATAATACACTGTTGGGAAATTGTTAAGGAGCTCTTGAACAATGGAAGTGTGAATGTGGTAGTTTTCATAATGCTGGAAAATGATTGTTCAAAAGTATACCACTCTTTAAATTAGTTTCAGTTCACAATATATAAATGTTACAGAGCAATAATCATACTAATTTATGACTGTGTGACTTTTTACAAAAGACACAGGGTAAGTTGTTTTTGTTTTTACTAAAAGTCGTTCAACAATAATATGTTCTAGTATAAATAAAAAACATTTATTATAGCATAAAATATATTACATTGAATAATATTAAATAAAACTATTCAAATCTTAATGTAACTATTTATTTATCTGATTGTCCATAGTCCAAAAAATCTTCAAAAAAACGTACAAGAAAAAGGTCAGTGGTTGAATTATTATAACTGAATAGAACCTTAGCTAAGGTACGAAACCAAGCTGCTAAGCAACATCAAATTTATTGTTGACAGTGGTGGATGGATCATGTACATTGATTCCGAGTTATTAAAATGGTTACTTTAATATGAATGAATTGTTTAGCTCTATGAAAACCAACATACAGTTCCCCCTACATTAAAAGACATTATTAAAAAGGTAATAAAATTAATTTGTAATTAAAATATCATTTGTGTGCCATGGTTGTCACTATTGCATAGTGGCTGCCATAAAAAATACAACTTTTCAAGCAATTTACCAAGTATGAAGTCCACTGATGTTGTTGTAATATTATAATTATCTAAAATAACAAAAAAAAATTTATTCTGGACCCAATGCAGTCCATTTAAGATGCTACTGTGATGTCAAAAATGTTTGTACAAGCTCTTGTCCCGTTGTATTAGTAAGATTTTTTTAAATACGTTTTCATTTAGTTTGCCTCAACAGATATTTTTCATTTGATTTATTCACTTCTTATTTCAATTATGTTGTCATTGAATATTACGTTGAATTAAGAGTGTTGTCATTACAGTGTCAGTACGCTCCTACTCATAGCAAAAATTGCATCAATTCTAATAGAATACTTGGAATTTGTACTACATAGAATGGTAACGAAAAGTAATAAATTTTCGTCTTCTTCTTCTCATGTAAATCTAAGTGTTGATATATTTTTTAAAACTTATGATTAAGTATCACTATCACACTAGTATCTACATTAACAGTGAATATGTGGAGAATTCAAATTTCTCTACATTTCAGGGCACAACTTTTGAAGTTACCACAGCGCTGTAAAACTGGAATTTTGTTATAAGTCAAAGACATTGGGTAAAATGTATCTCAAAATAATGATTTCTAACCATTACAAAGCCAATGTATTTACAGTCATCAGCTGTTTGGTGAGTTAAAAGTTGTACTCTGAAAAACAGGGAAATTAGACTGAACCACTTATTCACTGTACATACAGATATAGTCTCTGATGAATGAATTAGATAATGAACCGAATTTATTAAATAATAAAACAAACACAACTGTTTTAATTTTTGAACCCAAACTTTTAATAAATAACTCAATTGTGCATAGTGTGTTAGAAGTACATACCACTTACCAACTACTATTCTCGCAATTTAAAGAAGCACATTTAAGCAAACTTTCAACTTAGGGGGTCCCAAGGTAAATACATAAGTTTTTATTTCCCAATATTTCAGAAAAATATCTGTGGAAAAAAAAACAAAAACTTCTGGACTGATTGGCTGTTGGTTGCACTGAAAACTGTCAGTCAACTGTCAACATGACACTGTCCTATATTTACATTGTTTATACCGGAATCCAACTGCTCTGTCCATATTGTTAAGGTCCTGTCCTGACAATACTCGACGCTTCGCGATTTATACGTGTTTTTTTTCTTGGCGAGTGACGCCTTTTCTTCACGATGGAATATTTCACGGTATTTCGGTACTACGAGTTTTTCTCGGCCGTGCCGCTAGATGTCGCATGATCGCCAGTACCGCTCGATCCGGTTGCGATCATGCGACAACAGCGCCACATCTAAGTACTCGATATACCGTGAGATATTCCCTGGATATTCCATCATGAAGGCAAGGTTTGTGCGCCAAGAAATAAAAACCCAAATATATAATGTTGCGCGTCACGGCCTGTTTCTACGATGGAATATCTCACGGCATTTCACGTTTTTTCTCAGTCGAGCCGCTAGGCACATCGCACCCCTTGATTCGGTCGAGAAAGATGCAAATTGCCGTGAGATATTCGATCATGAAGACAGACCTTGAGTATCAGGTTATAAAATCCCATGCATCAACGAATTTTCAATTTAAATGTACGGCAATGTTGCTAACAGTGCATGTAAGTGATCTGCGGTTTCTAAAGAATGACAGCAGACAATGCTGGAAAGGTATGTGTGATATTACGCATCGTGTCCGACTTCAGCCAATGAGTTTCGGCACCAGTTTGCGTCACAATAATAGCGGGAATTATTGTGTTACATATATTTTCTTGGGTTTTATTTCATGGAGCTTGAGGGCCAATCTTTGCAATGAAATATCTCACGTCATTATTGGTGGTTTATGCCTCAAAAGATTGCAGGTTGCACCTCCACCAAATGACGGAATTGTAATTTCCAAAATTCTAAATACAAATATAATAAAATTTTGAGTAATTCAAATTAATTAAAACTAAGTTAAACAAAATTCTGTAATGAAACATTATTTACATAATTGTATGTGACGTGTCCGTATCAGGCATATTATATACCTCCTGCGCACGAGGTTCTTTCTCTGATTTCTACAGGGCAATTAAATTCGGCCACGGTATACGAGAAAGTAAAACTAATGTTGTGAAGCGCAAAATAGTGGGAGAATAATCTGAAGAATCCCAGCCGGGCCACAAGAGAACCGCCCGCTTGCCTGCCTCGCTCCCAAGCCGAAATTACGAAATGCTTCCGTGCCCCTAGGAGCCGGTGCCCGCACGTGCGACAGCGGTGCGGCATGAGGGTATTGTATTTTACCAAATTTCACTTTTCGACGGACCTATTGATCCGATTTGAACTATTGATAGGGCGTTGGATTCAGGAAGCGCTTCACAATCCCGCGTTAAAAGCTCACATTAAAAATAAAAAAAAAAACCTAGAACTATTCCAAACAAAAATTTCGGAATTCCATTTTGCAATTTTTTGAAACGGCCATCGTAGCGTAAATTCTATAATAAATACAAATTAAATGCCGTTTACTGATTGAAAATCGGACTTGTTCAGACTTTATTAGGAAAGTAATTTTGGCTTATTTCGGTGCCGCTACGTGGACTCTGAACTACTATTGAATTAGTGTCAATACATTTAGCCTTAAGGGGTATGTGTGGTTTGCACGAAGACAATCCTGCGCCGTATTCGGGACTTCTCAACCTAAGAAGTGAGTTTTCTCATTGTCACTCAACATATATTCGACCGGGCGACTTCATACTAGTTTTGCAAATTCAGTAAGTTTGGGTTGAAATCGATAGATCCCCACGTCCAGACCCCCAAAATCCAGTCGTATGGTACACTATCAAAGG